GAGTCTAAAAGCTTCAGGGTAGAAGCTGTTCCTCAGTTTAGTGGGTCTACGCTACACAAAAATTGCAGCTGAATGATTTAGTCACAAGAGCTTAACAGAAGGCTGTGATAACATGTGTTATGTTTATGATTTGTTGAAGGCCATTCCTGTAATGGAAGAAAAAAAGACCGTGCTGCTCACATCATCAAGTTTTTATTGCCTTTATGGTAAATAAACCACAGAATGTTTTCAGTATGGATTTCATACGTAGTTTTAATTTAGTAAAAAAAATAATAATAATAACTAAACAGATTAAAATGTTTTTGCTTTCAAATTTTCTTTTGTTTTTTTTAGAGTTTGAACTCTTTCAGGACTAATCCCACGTACGATTACGAGTTCAATAAATCAGCATTTGGTAACAAGATGGCTTTTTTCCCCCCAAAGATTAAATTAATTACTGGAAAGATGGGAACATAGTGACATCATTTTCCAGAATTTCAGATGCAGTTACACTCCTATCTCACATTGAACCCATATTTACAACATCTGCATCTTTGGCTGGTAAAGTTGGGCTTTAGTTGAGGAATTGTTTTATTAAAATGGAAGTGACATGCGCTCCGCAGTATGGTGAATTTGCAAACAGTCCTTCAGCATGCTTGTTTCGCCTGGTTTCAAAATGTAAGAATACTTAACAGATTAAAGGTCTACCATTCCTAGATGGGATGAAGAAGGTATTCCTAGAAAAGATTTGTTAGCACTTGAAGAATGTTGGATGAATCAGCAACTAGAATGTCAGTCTTAGTTCAATATCTGTAACATTTGCTGAGTTATACCAATATTTGTGCTCAAAGGTCGCCACCATCATGAATTAGGTTGACTCCAAAAGTTATTCAGCTGAAGATATATACAGTTATTACTTGTGAGATTTTCATTCAAGTCTGTCAAGTAGTCCATCCGATATTTTACTAACATTATTTTCCTTTCAGCCCATAACAATGTTCCAATATAATTTTTTATATTTGCATCTATTCAAAATGACAAGTGGATAGTTTAGATTTTCCATTTTTCTTCTACGATTGCACCTTTGCGCATCACACACACACACACACACTCATCAAACAAATCAGCATTTGGTGATTAATGGTGGGCAGCTGGGACATTTTAACCAGCTGCATATAGATGTGTAGAAATCATGACATAAAAAAACCTTTCATTGTTAAAAGAAACTCAAACCCAGTGGAAAATCAGATGTCTAATGTTTGAGTTGAGCAGTTTGTGCACAACAAATATAGTAAGACAGAAAAAAAATAAAATAAAAAAACAATATGGAAAATGAAGGAATGAAGGAATGCATGTGGCCTGTAGCCTGCATGCTAAAGTTGTAAACAAAACTGTTGCCCAATCTGTTAGTGCTCAAGGTGTGTGATGGGGATGACTGTTAGCTAACAGAACACTAACTCTTCCTTTTGTGTAAGAGACTGGGTTATAGTCATTTGTGTGTTTGTTTTAACAGATTGGTATCTAACAAAACCTTTTTGGGAATGTAATAACTTCACCTTAAAGAATATCAAAATGACTTATACCGGTAATTAGTTCATTCTGAGAGACAAAAAATAACAACATTATGATGCAAAACATCAAAGTTCATGCTCTATAATCCAGGTAGAAAAATAAAAAAAAGTTCAATCAGGTCATCTGGACGGTTTCTTTTTTTGTTGAGACATTTTGTTGGTGAAGATTCTCAGTCATCCAGTACATGGTAAATTCAAAAAAGTTCAAAATAAAAACAACTAGACTTTATTTGTAACAGAAGACGTTTCACTTCTCATCTGAGGAGCTTTCTCAGTTCAAAGAACAGGGAGTGTGGGGTTCAAGTTATACAGCTGAGGTAAGATACATACATATGCAGATTGACCTATCACACCTCACAGTAAGGGTTATTATTATTTTTTTTTTAAAGAGACATTTTATACTTTATCCAAAGGACTTCATCAGTCTGAGGACCCCCCCCCCCCCCCCCAAAAAAAAAATAAAAAAAATAAAATAAAAATAAAGTCTGTATGACCTGACTGAACTTTGTCAGTGTGAGTGTGATTATTGAGCATGAACTTTGATGTTTTTAATCACTTTGGCTATGGCTGCCACAGAGGAGTTGACAGGGGAGAGGGCGGGCCCCAGAAATGATCTTATCACCAGTAAACTGTTTGGTTCATCATGTGGGTGTGCTGCTTGTGGGACTCATTTTGTTGGGGCTCTTTGGACTGATGAAGTCCTTTGGATGAATGGCAAAACGTCTCAACAAAAAAGAAACAGTCCATATGACCTGACTGAACTTTGTCGGATATGTTGCAAAACGTTTTAAACCTCTTTCATCATTGTGACAGATTTCCTGGTGCTGCGCATAGTAAAAACACTAACTTTGGTACAAGCAAGTTAAAACAGTCCAGTCAGGCTGCAAAAAAGTAAAATAAAAAAACTACATACATGGGCATTAATTTTAATGTCTTCCTGTGTTTGTTTCTGCTGTTTCTCACACAGATACTCACACACACACACACACTCGCTAACGGCAGTTCAGTGGATAGTTACCGTAATAAGCGGTTTAAAAGAGTGTGTTTTACTAAATATTATACTTCAACCCAGCAATTAACACCTACTGACTGTCTATGCGACTAAATTATTTGTATGATGTCTACACAGTCACATTGTTTCCATAGCAGTGTTGTCAATACACCCGGTAATCTTAGAGAGGCGAGAAACAGGTGTCCTTTCAGAGTGCAGGCAAATATTTGTGTCGGTCTGTTTTGGAAATAGGTTTATGTTTTCAAAAGTACTCATTGCAAAGTTGTGATTGCAACATATGCACTTTTTAAAATTAATAATTTTGCCCTAAATTAAAAACTTGTGAGCAAGCTTTGTGACCAGATGACAACTACCGTACACGTTTGTTTAACTACAGAAACAGCCGAAGTGTCGGAAACAGGTCATGTGGTAAACTTAGCCATATTTGTTTTCCTACACTATCTCCAGCCTAAAGTAAGCCAGTCACATGACCCAAGCTTCCACGTGTTTTTCATCAAATTCAACCAAGGGCTTTGTTTACATTGAGCGTGGACCCACATTTCAGAAGAGCATTCACCACTGCTGGCATAAACTCTTTGAAACTCCACTATTTGATATACTTTTAGATAAATTGGACTTTTTATGTTTGATCGTTCAGTCAGGTCATCTGGATGGTTTCTTTTTTTGTTGTTGATATGTTTCATCCTTCATCCAAAGGACTTCATCAGTCTGAGGATCCATAAACAAACTCAGTCCCACAAGTCACATAGTGGACCAACCAGATGTTGGTTGGTCCACAGTCAGGTCCAGATGATCTGATTGAACAATGTTGGATTTTTTACCTGGATTATT